TCAAAATTTGGAGGGCTTATAAGGTTTATATGGGTTTAGAGCATTCAGGGTTTTGTAGGGTTTGAACGGTTACAATACATAGGGTTCGTACTTGTAGGCTTTGTAGCGTTGATAGGGTTTCTAGACTTTGTAAGCTTAGAGGTAAGGGATTATACGGCTTCATAAGGGTTTGCAATAGGATTTATAAGTGTCTGTCAGGGTTTGTAGTCTTTAGGGTTAAGGGTCCAAACCCTAAAGAACCTTGAGGCCTAATTTCAATTGCGAGGGCTTTTGTGCCTTGTCGAGGAAAGTCGGGTGTAGGACTCTAGGGTGTAAGAGTTTGCACGTTTGGCCCCACGCTCGCTTGCCAGAGAGAGAGAGAGAGAGAGAGAGAGAGAGAGGTGCTGGGCGCGCCCGTGCGCGCGGGGGGCCCCCGGGTCCCTCAAGCCCTGTAGAAGAAGAAGAGAGAGAATTGAAAAGAAGAACACGCGACCTTCTTCAGGACACGCACCCACCACATCCTGGGAAAATAGTAAGATTGACATGCTGGAGTGGACCAAAACCCCTCGTCCTAAACCCTAAACCCTAAACCCTAAACCCCAAAACCCTAAACCCTAAACCCTGATGTTCTGGTGGCTGAGTTCCCCGGGCCGCTCCATGCCATGCAGCAACGATGGGGTGGTGGTGGGGGGGGGGAGTTCGGGTTTCGGGTTTAGGGTTTAGGGTTTAGGGTTGAGGGTTGAGGGTTGAGGGTTTAGGGTTGAGGGTTGAGGGTTGAGGGCTAGGGCTTCTGATGGAAAGCGTGCGACAACTCTCAACAAAAAGTTCTGAACCCCTAGACCCTACAATTTCCCCGAAACCTAAACCCTGAACACTAAACCCGGTGCCCAAATCCTAAACTTTCTCTGTAAATATCCTAAACCCTAAACCCTAAACCCTAAACTCTGCCTAAAGCCTAAAGCCCAACTTACTTGCCTCTGCAAAGGCTCAGGCAAAGATTACTGAGCCAGTGCCCCAGAACTGTCAGGGGTTTGGGTTAGAGTTTGGGGTTTGGGGTTTGGGGTTGTGGGTTTGGAGTTTAGGGTTTAGGGTTTAGGGCTTAGGGTTTAGGGTTTAGGGTTTAGGGTTGGATCCATACTACGGTGGCCTTTGAGTTCCTCAACAGCAGCGCAGGCCCCCGAACCCTGCGCCCCAGACCATAAACCCCAAACCCCAAACCCCAAACCCTAAACCCTAAACCCTAAACCCTAAACCCTAAACCCTAAACCCTAAACCCTAAACCCTAAACCCTATAAACCCTAACCCCTGCCCTAAACCCTAAACCCGAAACCCTAAACCCTAAACCCCAAACCCTAGACCCCAAGTCCAGAAGCTACCGGTGCATATGGGAAGTGGAGCAGTGGATACCCAGGATCATCCACCAGAGAATCCCTTTGAATGATCCCGAAGCCCTAGCTCAAGAACCCCAAGGCCTAGGTCCAACGAAGTGCTCAACAGACCTGCCCAAAAACAGGGCTCAGGGTTTAGGTTTCAAGCTTTGAACCAAACAATGTAAACGCAGGGTGATACATGCCCTTATACGCTAGCTTGTACAGTTCTACAGCTATACAACCCTAAACCCGTGAGAGTTAGCATTGTAGGGTTTTGGGGGCAGAGGATCTAAACACACAAGCCCTAAACCCTGCTTAATGCCCCTGAGCCCGATATCCGTTCAAATCAGCAGATATGCTCAGATGCGGTTTAGGGTCTAGGGCTTACCGCCTGTAGTTTATGGTAGGAATGACTGATGGTGCGGGGTGCAGAGCTTACTTTTAAGATGTTGTCCCTGAACCCTAAACCCTAAATCCTAAACCCACTTAGTATCCCCTCATATCCCTGTCATCATCCCCAGACCTCACCTTACTAACCCTTTTTACTAAGTCAAAAGGGCTTCCAACTATGGTTGAGGTTTAGGGCTTGGGGATTAGGAGTTTGGGTCTACGTTACATGTACACTTTTTTGCGCGCACCCCTATACTTTTTTATGGGGGGAGGGGAGGAGGGGGGGGAGGGGGGGATGTCCGCTGTTGGGTCAAGGGACTAAAGGAGGAACCCTCATAAGGTTATTTAGGGACCCCTTCCTTATTTCGGGCTAGTACCTCAGTAGTTCGCCCTCAGCTATCAACCGATTCAATCCCTGCATGTAGCGTGCCCTCTGCACCATTCCCCCTCAACCCTAAACCCCCAAACCCTAAACCCTAAACCCCCATGTGTGTTTGAAAGGGCCATGCAATGTCTTCTCAGGCTCATCGCCAACCACAAAGCCGCCAGAAGCTCATGTTGTCGTTTTTTTCCACCACGACCGCCCTAAACCTTAAAAGGGCTTAGGGTTTCAGGGTTTTTAGGTTTAGGGCTTAAAGATTGGGGGGTTTAGAGATTGTTGTTGCGGCTTAAGTTCAAGTTGATCCTCCAAGGGTTTAGGGTTTAGGGTTTAGGGTTTAGGGTTTAGAGTTTAGGGTTTAGGGTTTAGGGTTTAGGGTTTAGGGTTTAGGGTTTAGGGTTTAGGGGTGGGACGCTGCCTTGCCCTTGTTTTCCTCGTACCTGAGCAGTTAGGGCCATATTCGGAGTATTTTCAGGGAACCTTTTGGGGGGGGTACACCCTTAAGGGTCCGATTCTGACTCCCTTGGTAAGACCCTAAGCCTAAAACCCTAAATCCCAAAACCTCAAAAGCCCAAACTCTCAATTCTTCGTGTGCGCTCCCAATCGCGCAGAATTCGAAACCCTAAGCCCCTGCGCCCTAAGCCCCTAAGCTCTAAACCCCACGGGTTCTGAACCCGATACCCTAGGGTTTAGGGTTTAGGGTTTAGGGTTTAGGGTTTAGGCGGTTTAGGGTTTAGGGTTTAGGGTTTAGGGTTTAGGGTTTAGGGTTTAGGGTTTAGGGTTTAGGGTTTAGGGTTTAGGGTTTAGGGTTTAGGGTACCCTATAAAGCCTAAAAACTCTATAAACCCTACTCGAAACCCTAAGCCCTAAACTCTAAACCCCTAATAAGCCCTAAACCCTGAACCCTTATATGGGTTGGTGGTCTCTTTAAGTAGGGCTTCGGCTTTGTAGGGGCATATCGGTTCTTACTAGGGTATCTCGGGGCTACATTAAGCTATAAGGGTAACAGATAAAGAGGCCACTAACTCAGCAGCTGAGCGGGCACACTTTACACTTTTGGGATACTATAACCCCCCTATAGAACTGAAAGTGTACACTTTTTGAGGGCTTCTGAACTCAGCAACTCAGACTCAAGCCCTAAAGCCTTTATAACTTAGCCCCTAAACCCGAAACCCGAAACCCTAAACCCTAAACCCTAAACCCTAAACCCTAAACCCTAAACGCTGACAGGGAAGTTCCGCCCTGCACCCAGGAGCTGCGCGAGGCGAAGGAGCGACTGACGCTGAGGCGTTTCGGGCGTGAGACCATTCAGGGAACCCTAAACCCTAAACCCTAAACCCTACAATCCTAAACCCATACTTTTATTCGAACAATAAGCTGTAAACCCTAAACCCCAAACCCAGATCTTAAACCCTGATGCGGGGCTACAGGATTCTTCGGTCACCTGAAAAAATAGGGTTGTTGAGGGAGGCTTTTTTTTCGGGCACAAAAGTTACAAGAACGGTGCTAAGGGCTTTTTTTCGTGGGTCATTCACTCATCAGTTTTCTTATTTGGATTATACATTCCTTGAGAGTGTATAGGGGTAGTTCTCCATATCAGGGTCCCATTGTTTTTTTGTTGCGGGGGGGGGGGGGGGGGGGGGGGGGGGGGTCCTGTTTAGAAGGTGCTGTACCATGTAGGGATCCAAGAAGCGAACCTAATCTACCGAACTACTCGGGTAAACCCTGAACCCGAAACCCTACACCCTTAAACCCTGGGGCTCCTACTTGAAGGGTTGAGCAAGATCACGTTGTGGAGGGATTCCTGTCAAGAAGTGGAGTGAGAATTGAAAACCCGAAACCCTAACCCTTAACCCTTAACCCCAAACCCTTAACCCTAAACCCTAAACCCACCAACCCTAGAGCCCTAGAACCCTAGAACCCTGAAACCCTACAACCCTAAAACCCTTAGCCCTGAACACAAGTTTAGGGTCTGGTGACCTGTTCGACAGTAGTTAGCAGAAGTGGTCAGAGCAGGCTTAGGGTTTAGGGTCTATAGGGTTTTTGGGTTTAGGGTTTTTGAGTTTAGTGTTAACGGTTTAGCGTTGGGATGCTCCCCCTTATGCTAACAGCCCTTTAAGGGCACTATAGCAGCTCCTCTTATAATCCCGATTGAGGACTGTTAGTATAAGGGGGAACATCCCAAGTTTAGGGTTGCTAGGGTCTGCTTGGGCATACAAGGAAAACCCCTTTACCATAGCAACTATACTTAAGGGACCTATCACCCAAGTTGGATCCTTATAACCCAATTTAGGGCTCTTATAACTCTACTTCTGACTAGGGGCCCCTCCTTGTAGAGCAGCCTTCACAACAACGTAACGGATCCGTGGCCATCCTTAGTGCAGAAGAGGCAGAGCCCTGAACCTCATACTGCTAAACCCTTTAGGGGTTTGGGGCTTGGGGCTTGGGGGTTAGGGTGACCCTACACTCCTAAACCCTAAACCCCAAAACCCCAAACCCTAAACCCTAAACCCTAAACCCTAGACCCTAAACCCTTGAGGGCCCGAGTCCAGACCTTTTGCAAAGTCCAGGGACCTCCACCGGAGCTGGTGCAGCGCCTCCATCCCACCGGGAGAGTTGGCCGCCTCAGTGGGCTTTTGCGGGGGGGAGTCTTTGGGTTTAGGGTTTAGGGTTTAGGTTTTAGGGTTTAGGGTTTAGGGTTTAGTGTTTAGGGTTTAGGGTTTAGGGTTTAGGTTTGGGGTTTGGGTTTAGGGTTTGAGGTTGTGGGTTTGGGGAACACCCTGGAGCACTCCCGGTGACGTCTCTGCTTCTCAGCAACTTGCTATCTCAGTCAGCAAATCCGCGCCTTGTGTGCCTTGAGAGCTCTCCGTGGGCATCGAAACATGGCAAGCCCTTTGATGGAGGATCTCGAGGACCCTAAACCCTAAACCCTAAACCCTAAATCCTAAACCCTTTGGTTCAGGCTCTCCAGGACGTACACTCCGAGCCCGAGGAGTCCCCGGAGGAGGTCGCTCCTCCGAGCTCCCGCGGCTGGGTGACTAGGACCGGGAGTAGGCCCGTATTTTCCTTCTTTTTAGGGTTTAGGGTTTAGGGTTTAGGATTAAGGGTTTAGGGTTAGGGTTGGGGTTCCCTTCTAATCCCCTCAAAGCCATAAAAGGATGCCCTTTTTCCTCCTAGGTTACTCCCGGGTCCAGGTGAAGAAGGTGGGTTTGGCAGCGGCTCTGCTCGGGCTCCTAGGGCTTGCGGGCCTGGCGGGCACGCAGCACTTCGGCGCCTTCCAGGGCCACGCATCCCTTGGCTTGAAGACGGCGTCGAAAGTGATGATTTACAAAGATGTGCTCACCGGAGATGAGATGATCACTGACAACTACGAACTCACGGAGGCCTTCAATGGCGCTGCCCTGACAGCGAAGTCAAGTTTGGAGGACGGCAACGAGGGGGAGAAGGTGTTGAACATTCCGAAGCACTTCCATCTGCAAGAGATGGAGCTGCCCAAGAAAGACTTCATGCTCTGGGCGAAGGATTACATGAAGAAACTTCTCCCGAAGCTCCAGAAGGACGACCCAGACCGTGTCGCCGACTTCAAGAGGGGCGCAACGGACATGATCAAGTTCGTCATGAGCAAGTATGATGAATTCCAGCTCTTCGCTGGGTCCGGCCCAGATCCACTTGAAGGCGGCCCCGCCATGGCTTACACGAAAGAGGGGGATCTCACGCCTACCTTCTACTTCTTCAAAGACGGCCTCAAGGGGGTGAAATACTAGCCGACATTCTCCTCACGTGCTGAGTAGTTTCAAGTACTTTCGACTCCCATTTGCTTAAGGAGCCCCCCCCCCCCCCCCCCTATAAGAGCAAAGCACTACTCCCCTATATTGCCCTTATCAGGACGAGAATGCTTCATGTTTTGAGGGGTTCACAGAGCAAATAGTAGTCAAGCTGATAGAGCGAGTCTTCCATATCATCGCTTGCCCTGGCATCCGATGTTTGTGCTTTCACGCTCGCACTCTTTCGTGGCATGAGGAAAACGTCTCGGATGCCATTTTGACCGAGGTTCTCGTGCCCATTCAGGTTAGATGCTCTCCCCAAGCCTTAGACCCCAAGCCCGATCAACCTTCCACCCTAAACCCCGTACATAGACACAGGGTTCAGGTTTCAGGGTTCAGGGTTCAGGGTTTAGGGTTTAGGGTTTAGGGTTTAGGGTTTAGGGTTTAGGGTTTAGGGTCATGAATCCTCCGCCCAGGCTCGTGCCTAGCCAGGAGCAGGATGAGGTGATCAAGGCTCTTGAGCGATGGTTTACCCCAACCTCCCTGTCGTTCAAGCCCAAGCCCCAAGTTTTGAACCCTGCGCCCGAAGCCTCATAGTTTAGGGTTTAGGGTTTCGGGTTTAGGGTTTGGGGGTTAGGGTTTAGGGTTTCGGGTTTAGGGTATACGGAGTCGCAGGAGTCTGCCGCCACAAACGTGCCGGCCCCGTCTGATCTCCACTAAACCAGTCCAACTTTTCAAGATCTCCCGGTAAAACCTTCCTTGTTCCTATTCGGGCATTGGGGGGAGGGGGGGTGGGGCAGTGGGAAGGTTGTACCTTTTGTTTTGTCCTTCTTGTTAGTTTTTTTTTGGGGGGGCGGGGGGTGCGGTGGGACCTTCGGAGGAGGAGGGGGTGGGGGGGGGACCTTCCTTGTTCCTTTTCATGTTTTTCCTATTTTTTGTTGTTTTGTTTTTTTGTTGTCCATTTTTGCGGGGCGGCGGTGGGACCTTCTTTCTTCCTTTTGTGGTTTTCTTCTTATCATGTTTTCTCGGGGCGGTCAGGGTTCAGGGTTTAGGGTTTAGGCTAGGTTCCTTATAAAACTACACAATGCAATCCATGGAGCTCCATTCAGATCCTTGATGGCCGTGTTTTTGGGCACGAAGCCCTTGTATGTTGGCGATACCTGCAGAAAGCAATCAACGCTCTTCATATGAATATCAAGCCTTGCAAAGATCAAGCCCTCTGACTGGTACCCTCAAACCCGAAACTGTTCCCTACACGTCCTGGTTTAGGGTCTATAGGGTTTAAGCGTTTAGGGTTCAGGGTTTAGGGCATCCCCGCATGCTTGCACCCGCAACCTCTGCTCACGCAGGCGACTTCCTCATGGCTTGCAGCCAACGCACCCCCTCCGGCCGAAGGCACGTCTTCGGCACATCCTGCAGGAATCTAGCAACCAGTTTTTATAGGGTTTAGGCTTTAGGGTTTAGGACCCAGAGCAGGCCATAATTCCCTTCCCTTATAAGCCCCTTTAAACCAAAACGGGCACCATTTATATTCCTAGGTTACTCGCTAAGCCCTAAACCCTAAACCCTAAACCCTAAACCCTAAACCCTAAACCCTAAACCCTAAACCCTAAACCCTAAACCCTAAACCCAAATTTGCTTTCTTGTAGGTTGCGGTACTGGCACTCAGGGTTGAAGGTTGGGGTTCTCAAGGTAACTGCATCAGACACACCTCGAACACCCCCCCCCCCCCCCCCCCTCCCTCGCCCCCACATAAACCTTCTCAGGAACCCTATAGGAGTCCGGGTTCCGTATCCTTAAACTCCTGAGGCCCTGCCCTAACCTTAAACCCTAAACCCCAAAACCCCAAACCCCAAGCCCCAAAACCCCAAACCCCAAAACCCTAAACCCCCAAACCCCAAACCCCAAACCCCAAACCCCAAACCCCAAACCCCAAACCCTAAACCCTAAACCCCCAAACCCCCAAACCCCAAACCCTAAACCCTATATAAGCCCTAAACCCTAAACCCTAAACCCCAAACCGCAAACCCCAAACCCCGCCCCGAACCCCCCCGAGAGGCGGCGCGAGGAAGAGGAAGAGGCCGCCCGAGTCTCCGATGATGCCCGGGTCTTGGGGCCCTGCAGTTCTCTTTTTTTTTTTTTTAACTGTTATTGTTTTTTCTTGGTATTATTATTATTATTTTATTTGTATTGTTATATTATTATTGTTATTATTATTAATTTTATTACGATTATGGCTATGATTACTACTGTTATTATTATTATTGTTATTGTTACCATTATTTTTACTATTACTGCCCCGGTCTTGGGCGCCCTGGATGTTTTTTACAGTTCATAGTATTATCTTTTTTGTTGGGCGTGTTATTTGTTTTATTTGTTTCAAGTTTATTTCATTTTTATTTGCTTTCTTTTATTCATGTTATTACTATACTTTTTTTGGGTGGGGGTATTGCTTCGTTTTGTAATAGCTTTTTTGGTGTATGATTTGATGTATGTGGGAGGGGGGGGAGTATCTGTAGACATACATTCTGGTAGACAAGTTCAATTAGCGTGTTGCAGCGATCACTATCGTGCACAAGTAAAGCTTCACACGATACGTTCATGTAGAACCCTAAGGGTCCATGTACCTAATATAATATACTTGGGCCCCAAAGTCCCTGAATAGGAAGAACTCTAAGGCCCAAGTATTCCCTATTTTGGTACATGGACCCTTAGGGGAAGAGTACACGAATCGTTAACATCACTGTACGTGTGTACACCTACGCATATATGGTCGCTGCTCCAAAACATGGTCCTTTTTGGACCCTAAACCCTAAACCCGAAACCCTAAACCCTGAACCATAAACCCTAAACCCGAAACCCTAAACCCTAAACCCTAGACCCCAGTTATAAGGCGGCCCACAGTACTCAGGGACCCAAAAGGCGACCATAGTCTGGAGGACTGACCACAAATCTGATCCGGAATGCGGCCCCCCCCCCCCCCCCCCCCTGCCCCCTAGGGTTTAGGGTTCAGGGTTCAGGGTTTCGGTTTTAGGGTTTAGGGTTATCTAGATAGCGTCGGAATCTTCCTGCAGAGCAGCATGTCCTGAAGCTTGGGCTTCGGGCCGTAAACCCATCCCCCCCCCCCCCCCCCCCCCCCCCCCCCCCCCAAACCCCAAACCCTAAACCCAAAACCCACACCCCTAAACCCTAAACCCCATCCCTAACTAAACTCCTCCACTCCGGCGCAGCTTTACCGAGTCAAGTTCCATCCACACTTTTGTCGTCGCTGCCCTGATGAGTCTTGCACGAGCCATGGCTCCCAGAGGCGTCCCCGTGCGACCTGCCAGCGCAGGGTTTAGGGTTTAGGGTTTAGGGTTTAGGGTTTAGGATTTAGGGTTTAGGGTTTAGGGTTTAGGGCTAGGGTTTAGGGTTTAGGAAGAGGGCATAGGGTCCATTAAAGCCTAAACCCTACGTCAAAGGGTTCAGGGCCCAGTTCAGGGCTTGGAGTCTTTCCACCCCTTCAATGAGAGCAGGTGAAGGGATACGAATTAGAGTCACCTGAGGACTTTTCGGGGTTGTTTTTCGTTCATCAAAACTAATGTAAATAGCAAGAACACAGCAAGGAGGGACCGGCAAGGCTTTGCCAATAGGGTTTAGGGTGTAGAACAGTGTAGGGGTTTAGGGTTTCAAGCCCTGAACCCTAAAGCCCATAACCCTAAACCCTCAACCCTAAACCCTAATGGCACAGGATGCCCTATAGCTCATTCTTCCTTGTTTAAGGAGAGCCCCGTTCAAACCGAAGCAGGATACCTTGTCTGTCTCCTTCAACCCTCAACCCTCAACCCTCAACCCTAAACCCTAAACCCTGAAAGCCTAAACCCTAGCAGCCACACTCGCCATCCCCGAGCCACAGAGGGCGCCAGGGGGCTCGCTGCCGGTCTTTCTAATGGACTTTCAGGGTGTGGGGTTAGGGTTTAGGGTCTAGGGTCTAGGGTCTAGGGTTTAGGGTTTAGGGTTTAGGGTTTAGGGAAGTTTCATGGTCCCTGAATGTGGCCCCGTACCTTCTTTTAACTGTTCGGGAGTAGGGACCCTTGAGGTTTTCGGGGTTATATAAGCGCTATATATGTATATAATATGTGGAGCCCAGAACAAAGGGCCTTGTAACTACCCTAACTCTAAATCCTAATCCCTAAACCCTTCCTAAACCCTTTGAATCCTTCAGACTTCAACTCTTCAGCTACACCCAGTTTGAGCCTAGTGAAGGTTTGTGAGCTTTGGGATTGATTTCCTGGTTATGGTTTGCTGTTTAGGGTTACAGGTTTAGGAAACCCTTCTACACCCTGACATTAACCTCCATGTTGGCTTAAGACGTTATACAGGGGAATGTGGGCTCCTTACACTCCCTTACACACTGCGCTTGGTGCCCCCCCACCCCGCACCCCCGCACCCCCCACCAAGGCCGTAAGTGTGATGCGCAGAGGCTTTTGGGGTCTCAGGTAGGGAAGGGTTTGCAGGTGTGCGTGTTTTTGCCCTAAACCCTAAATTTAAGAGCCTCCGGCTCAAGCCGCCGACCCCGCTGGAGCATAGTTGAAAGGTTTAAGGATGCCAAAAGTTGATTTGCTTGAGGTTTTGTGAAATGTGGGGGGGGGGTAGGGGGTAGCACCAGGACCCAATGAAGCCAGCTGGAGTAAGGGCCGGAAACGGGGGTTGAAGCCAAGCCCCATCACTTCGCCCAGCAACCGGGAGGGGGGGGGGTAGGGGGGGTAGGGGAGGGGGGGGGGGGGGGGGGTGGTGGGTGGTAGGTGTGCCCTGGCCCTTCATGGAAAAGCTGCCCGGTCCCCCCCCCCTACCCCCCCCCCCCCGCGTTTTGGGGGTAAGGAGGAAAGAGGGAGGTTTTCACCTCCTTTTCCCATCCAACATTCCGCCAGGGTCGGCGGACCCTAACCCTAAACCCTAAACCCTAAACCCTAAACCCTAAACCCTAAACCCTAAACCCTAAACCCTAAACCCTAAACCCT